GGTAACTACCTGCTTTTCTCTTGTGGTTGTTAGGGTTCTCTCCTTATCTTTAAGCCTTGTCATTTTAATTATGATGTGTCTTTGTGTAGGCCTCTTTGGGTCCAACTTGTTTAGGACTCTCTGAGCTTCCTGACCTTGTGCAACTTTTTCCTTCACCAGATTAGGGAAGTTTTTGGTCATGATTTCTTCAAATAGGTTCTCGATCTCTTGCTCTCTCTCTTCTCCTTCTGGTATTCCTATGATGAGGATGCTGCTGTGCTTCGTGTTGTCCAAAATGTTTCTTAAGCTTTTCTCATTTTTTAAAAATTCTTTTTTCTTTTTGCTGCTCTGCCTGGGTGTTTTTTCCTACCTTGTCTTCCAAATCACTGATTTGATCCTCTGCTACACCTAACCTACTATTTAGTCCTTCCAGTGCATTTATCTCAGCCATTGCATTCTTTATTTCTGACTGATCCTTTTTTAAGGTTTCTGTGACTATTTTCATGTTGTTGAGTATCCTTATATCATTACTGTAAACTATTTATCTGATAAGTTGCTTACCTCCATTTCATCTAGTTCTTCTGGAAAATTCTCTTGCTCTTTTATTTGGGGTCTGTTTTTTTTTTTCTTCCCATTTTGGCTGCCTCTGTATTTTCTGCCTTAGAATGATAATCTAATCACCTGTTAAGCTTATCAGTTTTTAATCTGATCAATCTGTAATCAGCAGTCAGGTTTAAGCACCACAGGGCGGGGTAGAGTAATTCTTGCAGGTGGGCTATTGCTTCTCCTCAGGCTGATGCCATTCAGAGAGGAGTGCTCTGCTCTAGAAGGATGGCTCCTGCAGTTTGGGGAATGACTCAGCATATGGGTTCTGGTAGCTGTTCCCTCAGTTTTCTCCCCAGAGCCACCAACCCCAGACTCTCTTCAAGTGTCTCTAGCCCAGCCTGCCCTCCCTTTGCCAGCACCAGGGTAAGTGGTCGCAAATGAAATTTTGTGCTTTGGCCCTTTAAGAGGTTCTCTGCATCTCTAGCCATCTCTCCCAGGCTGACAGAACCCCTGCTGCTTTCACAGCTGGAAGTTATCTGGGTTCCTTTCTGGCTCTGTTGCTCCAGGCTGGGGAGCCCTGATTGGAGTTTAGACTCCACATTTCTCAGGGGTAATCCCCCAGTTGCTGAAATATTCCTCTGCCCTGGGAGCCCAGCCAGCCCTCTCATGTCTCCTCTGCACTCCCTACCAGTCACATTGTGGTGAAGTGTTTTCTTCTGTCTCTTTGTGGTTAAAAGGCTTCTCTCCTGCTAGTGTTCAGTTGGTTATTGTAGAGACAGATGATTTCTCTACAAATTTAGTTGTAATTCTAAATTGGTCCTGGGAGGAGGTTACATAACTTCCATTTACTCTGCCGTCATCTTTGATCTCTCAATAATTTTAAAAGGCTTTAATTTGTACGAAGTGTGTTCTTTGACCACAAAAAGATTAAGTTAGAAGTAAAAAAAAACAAACAAACAGAAGGATCTCTAAAAATTCCCAAGTATTTGGAAACCAAACTTCACCCTTCTAAATAACAAGGGACCAGTGAATATATACCAAAAAGAATTTGAAAATATTTCAAAGTGCATGACTATGAATATACAACGTAGAATTTGTAGGATGCCATGAAATCAATACTCAGGGGGAAATACTATAGTACTAAATGCCTATATTGGACAAGAAACATTTTAAACTAGTGATCTCAACTTCTTTCTTAAGTAACTACGTAGGAAGAATGTGTTAAACCCAAAGGAAAGAGAAGAAAGGAAATAATAAAGATAAAAGATAAAGACAATAAAGATCATAGTAGAAGTCAATGAAAGAGAAAAACATAAAACAACAGAAAGTAATTTAAACTAAAACCTGGTTCTTTGAAAAGCTCTAAACTGATGTACTTCTAGCCAGATTGATTATAAAAAAATAAAATGAAGACAGCAGTTATTAATATCAGAATTGACAGAGTAACATCATTATAGACTGTACATATCAGAAGGATAATAAGGATATACTATGAACAATTATGCCTATAAATTTGACAACTAATAAAAAGGTGTTGAGATAGGAATGTAGAGATAGGAAGAAGTAAAACTATCTTTTTTAGAGGATGACATGATCATCTATAAAGAAAATCTGATGGAATCTACAAAAAACTACCAGAAGTAATAAGTAATTTTATCAAGATTGGAGGATTCAAGATCAATTATAAAAATTAATTGTATTTCTGTATGTTAGTAATGAATATTAAGAAATTGAAATGAAAAGATAGCATTTAAAATCATGTCAAATAATATGGAAGACTTAGGGACAAATCTCACAAAAGACCTATACACTGAAAACTATCAAACATTCAAGATGATGTAAGTGAGAGAAATTCAAGATGATGTTAATAAATGGAGATATATACCTTGTTCATTAGTCTGATGACTCATACTGTTGAGTTGTCAATTCTTTCCACACTAATCTACAGATTCAGTGCAATCCTAATAAAATTCTTATTATACTTTTCTGTAGAAATTGGCAAGCTGATTCTAAAATTCATATGGAAAAAGTTGGAATAAATAAAACAACTTTGAAAAAGAACAAAGTTGAAATTTATTCAGATTTCAAGACATATTATAAAGCTGCAGTAATCAAAACAGGATGTTATTGGCATAAGTGTTGACAAATAGATCAGTGGAATGGAATAGAGAGTCTAAAAATAAATATACCCATACATGGATAACTGATTTTTGAAAAAGGTGAAAGGCAATGCAATGGAGAAATGACAGTCTTTTCAACAAATGGTCCTGGAAAAATTAGATATACACATGCAAATAAGAAAAGGAAAAGGAGCTTCAATCCATACTTTATGCCATAGATAAAAATGAACTCAAAATGGATCACAGACGTAAAGGTAAAACCAAAAACTCTAAGCTTCTAGAATAAAATAAAGAAAAAAAAATCTTCGTGACCTTCTGTTAGGTAAAGTTTACTGAGGTACAATAGCAAAAGCACAATCCATGTAACAGCACATTGATAAAATGGGCTTCATCAAAATAAAAGCCTTCTAGTCTTTGAAGGACACTAAGAGAGTGAAAAGCAAACCATGGACAGGGAGAAAATATTTGCAATCCTTATAACCAATGAAATACTTGTATCTAGAATATATACACTCTCAGAACTCAGTAGAAGGAAACAAACAACCCAAAGAAATTGGGCAAAAGGTCCAACATAAAGAAGATATGATGGTAAGTTAGTACAAGAAATGCTCAACATCATATGTCATAAGGAAAATGCAAATTAAAACCATAGTGAGGTACAACTGCATACCTATTAGAATGGCTAAATGAAAAAGACTAACAATGCCAAGTGTGGGAAAGGATGTGAAAGAGCTAAGACTCACACACTGCTAGTAGAAATTTAAAATAGCACCCCAATATGGAAAACAGTTTGGCATTACCTTAAAACGTTAGACATATATCTAACATATGATCTAGCCATTCCACACCTAGGTTATTACCCTTGAGAAAAGAAAGCATATATATGCTTACAAAGATTTGTACATACATGTTCATAGTACTTCAATTTGTAATAGTTCACAAACTAGTTCAATCTAAATGTCCATCAGTAGGTGAATGGATCATTTAATATGTGTTTCAGATCATCACATCATACCCCTTAAACTTACAAAATGTTATATGAAAATCATATATCAGTAAAACTGAAAAAAAATGGGAAAAATACAGGTAAATAGATAAGTTATTTAAGGTATAGCCATGCAATGGACTACTACTCAGCAATCAAAAGGAATGGACTACTGATACATGCAACAATTATGGATGACTCTCAATATAATTTTGAAAGAAGACAAAAAGGTTATCTACTATATGGATCCATTTATATAAAATTCTGGAAAATGTAAACTAATCTATTGTGAGAAAAAGCAGATCCTGTAGTGGGTGGATATATTCACTATGTTGATTATGGTAATCATTTCCTGATTATTATGTATATCAAAACTTTAAATATTGAATAGTTAAATATGTAAAATCAATTATATCTCAAATAACTGTTAAAAAACAAACAAAACTCCACTCTTACTGAGCCTCACACCAATTAAAGCCATGTGTGTTCAGTGGGACACCCTTAATGTTTTGGGAGCATATGGGAAGAGCACAAATGTGAGTGCCCTAACCCACAGCCTTTCTCGCCTGTCTCTCCAGGCCAGGCACCACCCAGCTGCCCTGGGAACCCTCAGATTTAGGGCAATACATATATATGGGCTGAAGAGGTTCACCCCAGCCCTGGACGCAGGCGTGGAGTCTGAGGTCCTGAGCACTGAGACCACCATAACCAGGAAGGCAGAGCAGGAGGCATGTAAAGCAATGCCAGTCTGTGAGGAGATAAGACAGAAACTGAGTGTATTTAAACACAGCAATGTGACATGGGTGCAACATCCAAGCATAGGGTCATTTTTCTAACAATAGGTGTTCATTGAATTTTACAAAAGAAATCTGTCTTTGATGAATTGGATGCATATAAAAACAATTTAATACATATAAAAAACAATTTTAAAAAAGATCCTTCACTGCAGGTAACTGAGACACTGCTTTAAAGTACCTGGATCTGAGCAGAGGCCCCTAAACAATCCTGGGTTTGAATTTGTGCTGAATGTGGGGCATAGTCTGTTAAAAAGATTATTGGTCTGACTTTTGGGAGGTTGCAATCACAATCTGATTGATGCATCTTTCTTTCTGGGTTTTTCTGTGTGGAGTATTAGCTGTATTGAAAGTAGTAGTGATTGTGTGAACATTATTTCTTGGCAGATGATTGTCTTCCCCTCTCAGAATCTGAGAGGAGCTGCCATTTTGGGGCTGGAGCTGAGGTAGGAGAATCAACAGAAAAGATCATGGCTTTTTTTTCATTTGAACATGAAAACACAAGCATCACCATTTTTGCCTACATCTCCAGTCTGTCTGGACTCATTCTTTGAAGATAACAAACAGGCACCTTACCTTGTGCACACAGGACTTCGCGTTCAGGAAAAACAGCTCCACGGTGGTCTTATCCTTTAAAAACGATATGCTTTCAATGTAAAACCTGAAAAACAATAACATAAATGTGTTTCTTCAGATTTTTTTCCTTCTCTCAGCATGATTTCATTTCCTTACTTAATTTCTCCCAAAGCAATGAGAGGGTTTTGAGAAACCAGGGGATGTTGTGATTTTTGTTCCCTTTTCAAAGAATCTGCAACATGTATTTATGCAGGTGAATGTCTGCATATAAAGTCTCTTAGGTTTTTGTGTGTTGGAAGGTGAGTTAAAGTGAATCCACAGTGGCATCCAACAGTAAACTCCACTTTCCCTGTGGGGCTCATTCCTTGACACATGTTCTGGGAGCTCATAATACCCCAGGCAGCTTCAAAACAGGGCCAGGTGAGCTTTGAGGGTTGAAAGCAGAAGTCAGCTGAGTAAGCACTGTGTAACTGAACCTTGAGGCCTGCTGGCAGTGCAGTGGTTTACAGTCATGGTTGGTGTGAGGGCCCCACGCCCACTGCCTACCTACCCGCTTCCAGCAGGAGAGTGTCAGTAACAGCCTCCTCCTTCTCCGTCATTCTTCCAGGCTTTGGGCTTTCCCAGGGCTGGAAGCCAAGGTCTCAGTAGTACTTAACCTTGGTCTTTTCTCATGCAAATCAGAGCATTCTGGGCCCCACTCTCCCCACCCTGTGTCAGGGCTTTTGTTCAGTCAAGTCTGTTTGGCCAGAGATTGCAGGACCCTCTTTTATTAGAACTGACAGGAGGAGAGGAGAGTCCTTCACAATTTCTGTTTTCTTAATCCCTATATGATGAAGCTGTGGCCTCTGGGGTGAGAGAGTGGGCCAGGCGAGGTTCCGTTTCTCTAGAGCTGGAACCCCACTTGAATAATGCAGGAAGAGCATAATGCCCCAAGACAGTTTAAAGCTTGGGTCCTGAAAGAGAATTTACTCTCAAATGGTTGAGAGTCAAGACAAAGCCAGCTGACTGTGGTGTGGTGCGCTTGTCCTTAGTTCTGCAAAATCATGCTAGACCTTGGGCATTTGCTTGCCCCCTACCAGTCTCAACAATTACAAAACATTTAAGAAATAAATAAAACTGAAAAAGGCCATGAAAGGTTTTATCACTGAGATGGTAAAATCATTTGAAGAATTCCACCTCTAATGTTGAATCATCAAGGGAAATTCCAGAAAGAGAATAAGTCCTTTATATTTTTATGTACAAGGGTTTGCCTCACTTCTAAGTGAGATTAATGAAGATTGATGAGTGTTAGGTTTGTGAGAGGAGAGAGTTAAGGATTTAGGTAGGGAGGGCAATGAGGGTTGGGGGAAATAGGCTTGGAATCAGAAAGATCTAGAATACAGAGTCTTTGTGTCTCTTTTAAAATGGGTGTCATGACTGCACTTACTTCACAGGGTTTTGGGAAGAATTAAATGAGATAATATATGTAAAACACTCAATACATTTTGACAGTTAACAAATTTTTAAACAAACTATTCAACAATTTTTTGAAAAAAATTTATTTTCTGGAATTTAATGCTTCAGGTTTGAGTCTAAGATCCTTAGTATACAGAAGAGGATAATGATGCTTACCTACAAGTGTAATTTAAATGAGATATACATGAAGTACCAATATGGTGCTTATCACACAAAAGGAATTCAAGAAATTCTAACAGCAAAATTTGCAGTGTGTTAAATCAGTTTAAAGGACATGATGGGATTTGAACTATATCTGAAGGCTAAGATAAAACAAGATTCTGAAAGATAAAAATAAATCCAGGTGGGAAAATACTGTAGGTAAAGAACATCTCTTTTCAGTGATCAACACTCATAATTTGGCTTTCACCAGGGCAGAATTCTTTATAATCTGGGTTTTCTCCCATCAGTATAGTTTCTCCTGCCCTGGCCACTGCTGGACAGACTGAAGTTAGTCACCTGACTCAAGAGCAGCCTCTGCAGGGTGAGGGGGGTGGGTTGTGGGGGTGGGGCGAGTGAAGGAGGACTGTGGCAGCAGACGCTCCTTGTTGAGAAAAGGATTAGACACAGCAACCATGCATAATCTCGCAGAGAGACAGGTCAAGAAGGAAAAGGTGGAGACAGAGAAGTTCTAAGCAGCAGCCAGGAGGCAGGGAAGGACAAGTCAAGGGCAGGAGCTGATGTAGCACTGAGTCACCATGATGGTCGTGGACACAAGTCAGGGGACCTGGAATGACCTGTGTCAGTCAGTTCCTTGCAGCCTGAAGGACCTTCTGGTTCAACTAGGTGATGGTGGTTTCCGGCTTTCTTTGCTTTTGCATCGTGTACTTTTATCCCTTTCCTCTAAGAAACTGAGCAGGTTCAGCAGCAGCATCCCAGCTGTTTCCTGAGCTCTCTGATGGCCTGGCCATGCCTAATGCTTTCCATGTGCTTCATTTAATTCTCACAACCACCCCAGGTAACAGATATCTAACATTGCCACCACTTCACAGGTGCGGAAACCGAGTGTTAGAGCTGTGCCTACATGGCAGGGCAAGATCTTGATTTGGGTCGCTGGGACTCCATAGATAACGCTCTTAAGCAAACCTCCTTCTGACTGCCTCTCCGCATTCAACTTGTGTTTACGCGGGAAGCCAAGCCCTAGATAGCTGTGTGCAGCTCAACCATGCTAAAAACAGGCACAGAAACAAGATCACTGCAACGCTCCCCAGGTTAACACACACAAGTATATTTGTTCTCCAGTGCTGCAAAAACAGAATGAGAACCAGTGGGGAAAAAAATAATGTGACAGGTTTGAAATCCACCTATGAGACACTTTTTTAAAAGTTGAAGGAGTTGTCTCAGAAGGAAGTGTTCTTCCTGTCCTACAAAAATCTCAGGTCAGATTGACAGAATGCAGGACCTATTTTCTCTGCCAAAATTGGGTAATTCTTTTTTTCCTTTCACTTTTAATTACACCTGTATATATCTAGGAGAGAAGGATTGTATTAAAAGCAGAACCCCAATGAATTTTCACACTAACAAAGTTCATAATAATTCCTTATTTAAAATCTAGTTATTCAAATTTTTTCCTTATCTCCAAAACTTTTTTTTTTAAATTGGTGTTTGTGGTCTACAGCAGGAGTCACATGTGCAAAAAGCTGTGAGGGTTATTGACTGATGTGAAAGAGCAGAGCACATTCCTTCTACTCAGCTCAAGCTTGCTCTCCAATGTGTGAGCAGTAACGGAGCCAGACTAGTCAGATTCTTTCACCCTGGAATATCAATATAATTTGAATGACCTGAAGATCAAAGATGGTTGGAGCCACAATATGTGGAGAACACAATATGTTCTGCCATCAATGCTTGATGAAATCCTCCTTTGGCTTCTGCTCTCTAGGTCCCTGCCTGGATTCGTATCTTTTCTGAGGCCTTGTAAATTCAGTTTTCTTTCAGTTCTGTTGGTTAGCCACAATGGGCTCCTGTTGCTGGCAACCAAAGGTTACAAATTAATAGAGGCCTTCCTATGTGCTAGGGACAATACAAAGGACTTTGCATGCATCATTTCCCTTAATGTTCAGTACAAACAGATGCTGTAGTTAACAAATTATAAACCCATTTTACAGATGAGAAAACTGAGATTTAGAGCAGCTTTCCAAAGCCATACAGATGGGAAGTAGTGGAGCCATGATTCAAACTAAAGCCTTCAGAGTTCATATTCCAAACCAATATGATATAATGCTTTCCTACAATAACAAGTACAATGAAATATAACATGTACACAATGAAGTGGGTCCCAAGGGAAGGATACAATGAACTCAGCTTATGACTCAAGTGGGAGAAGGCTGCCAAACTGAAATCCATAGGACTAAGTATAAGTGTCCCCTGGGACAATTGAACTGAGTCTTAAAAAATTCATGAGTTCACCAGGCAATGAAGGGAGGAACAGCCTTCCAGGGAAAGGGCATATTAGCCAGAGCAATACTCCTACTAGTCTTCGTGAATTTAAGAAACCAAATGCAGGGAAATGGGTGGCTGAGCACCAAATCAAACTGTGGTTTATTCAACCCTGAACATACACCTTTGTACTAGAAACTGGGCTCAACTGGTTCCTGAAGCCCAGGCCCCTGACTGTACCTTAGTTCCAGTAAACAGGTACCTATCCTGTTTCCCACCACTTTCTGGCTACTTGCCCTACTGCTTTCTACCGCTCTGCCTCGGCATCTGATTACCTGCTCCCTAAACTCATGATCCCATCTCTCCCTCAAGGGGACCGCTGTAGTGACTTCATATTTATGGAGTGTATGAAACATATGAATGGTCCTCCGGGAGAATGACTCCCAGGCACACCTATCAACATGTACCATGAACTGAAACCCAAATCTAGAGCTTCTTCATTAAATGAAATGGACTATCCCAGACTCATAAAATAAACCTTTTGTTTCAGCTGTTTTTGACAGAAGGATAGTATTTGTTTTCTGCATGCTTACTATGAGTGATTTCACTAGGATTTCGTGAAGATGGAGCCCATGGTGAAATTTTCAGACTCAAAATGAACCTAGGCTTTTTGACTAGGAATATGTTTTGGAGACAAATCTCATACAGTGTAACAAGCGCAATTTATTAGAAGATAATTTATTTGGGGAGGTTTTGTCTCTACTTTTCATGTTCCTCCCATTAGCATTTTTTCCCCTTTCCTGATGGGACAGCTGTTCACCTAACTACTAATCAGTGGTAGTAGAACATCTCACCTCAACGACATGACAGAGGTGGTTTGGAGGGGAGGCAGACCTGTTAGCCAGGTGACAACACATGCGTATCACAGAGCAGAACACTGATTGTTTGCATGGGCTATCATCAGCTGTCTCTTACTTGTAGGTGTCCAATATTTTTATCTTGTGGCATTTGCTCATCATGGTCAAAGTCAACACCATGGATTTAGGGAGATACAATTGGATTGGCCAAAGTGTTTGTTTAGTTTTTTTTTGTACAATGGCTCTAGTAGTGCTTAGTTGTCTTTAACTTCATTCAAAGCAATTTTGTTAGATTGTATTATGACAGCTGACATATTGGTGTGCATTTAAAAAAACATGTAAAAATTGGTGAATTTTT